CTAATGGTGTTTGTAAATAGGATCACAAGTCTGCATCTTGTATAGCAACTGACCACTAAGAAGAATATGTGCAGTGTATTATTTGTTGAAACTGTACTTCCGATTTGATTTGAAACTGTCTCATTGCTATGTTTATCAATAAAACTTTGAAAAAAAAAAAAACAAGAAAAAATTAAAAAATAAAAAATAAATGAAATGACCTCGCTGCCACTTACGAGTCTGATGCCTGTGTAAAGAGAAGACTGCTTTAAAAGTTCATACTTGGAGAAGCCAGGGAACCTAACTGCCAACAGGACAGTGTGTGCATAGATTGCGCCTCACAACCACTGTGGGGGGAGAAGGCTCCCAGCCACCCTGGCACTGCACAATCCCACAGGGTACACTATGGCTCTGTTTCAGTCCGCTCAGAATATAAACTTAAAGATGCAAGCTAAAAATGCTTTACAAGTTGAATGTGCAAATACTTCACCATGTTCTTCATGTTCATCCAGCAGTATTTAGATACTAACATAAATGATCCCTTTCCTTTATGTTTAAAGTGATTTTCCTACCTATCACAGCAGAAGAGTATAAAAATAAACACTTAATAGATCAGTATTTTGAAGGTCAAAGATACACAGTCTTGGGCTGGGGAGATAGCTCAGTAGAATAAGCGCTTGCCTGGCAAGTATAAGGTCCTGAGTTCAATCCCTGGTACCTCAAAAAAAAAAAAAAAAAAAAAAAAAACACAGTCTTTATAAATCACATGAATCAATAACACAATGAGGGGTTTGTATTATTCACCTTTGGGAAACTGTATTTATGGAATCTCCCAGCTCAGAAAACAATTTGGGTGAGTCCATGGACTCGCTTCCATTTATCACCTACTTTTCATCATTTACTTTCCTAAAATGTATTATTTTATACAGGAGTAAACTAGCTTAACCACTGCAGAAAGAGGAATTATGAAGTGTTGAGTGTTTTCTTTAAAAAAATATGATCTCTTTCAACAAAAAGACCCACACTACTACAAAGTCACAGTTACATATCATCACCTTATTACAGTGAATTCTAAAGGAAATGGTGAGGTGTATAAAAGCACTGGATGAAAACCAAGCCCTCCGTGGTGCTGAGCAAACAACAGGCCCCTCGCCCTGCCTGGTGTAGCCTCACTCCCACCTCCCAACGAACTCCGTTAGACCCAAGTCCAAGAACCAACGCTGCCTTGATTTTTGTTTCGGTTTACTGGCTTTGCTGCCTTGATGTTTGTTTCGATTTACTGGCTCTGTTTGTTTCGGGGATCAGATTTTTCTGACACATCTATTAAGCTATTACCATATTCTTTTATTACGGAAGGAAAAACTAATAAAAATAATGTAAAAGACAAGCATCCTGTAAAATCCGCCCAAGGAACACTCGTGTTTCCACTGTTCACTAAATGTATTTTGAAAAACACAAGAAAATTAGAAAAACAGGAGGAGGCAGCGAGGCAAGCCGCCTGGCATAGCCAAGCAAGGGCAAGGCCAGGTAGCCACTCCCGCAGGTGAACGTTATGTCTGCACTGCGCTGATCCATGAACCGAGCGACTCGTACCTTCTGACAGCTGCGGTCAATGGGGTCCACTGGCGTGGCCCTTGGGTGGGTCACTCTTGCATCATCGCCTCCACACTCCAGACTGGACCACAGAGCAGCAACGAGTGCACTAACAAACCCTGGGAAGAAGCAGATCTCACGTCCCCTTAGGGCAGAATACCCCTGCGTTGCAGGGCAAAGATGAAGCTATCTCTGGTGTGCTCACCAGAGGCGCACGCACGTCTTCCAGGAGGAAGCGCTTCTGCCCTTGGTGCAAACACCTTCCACCGTGACTATACTTTCATGGTCCCCATCACCATAAACCTTGGCATAAGCCCAGAGAAATGTGTTCCCTGTTGGAATGCTGAATTTTGAGGCCAAGATTTTACCCCTTCACCAACAGCTCCTATGAGTTCTATTTTTTCTTTAAAAAAATAAAATTTACACTTTGCTCTGTAAGTGAGTCAGCCCTATAAGGCATCCAAAGGCCTAAGGCGGCATCAGGAAGCAGGCTGGGAAGTGGAACAGTAGAAGTACATACATTCTCTTACACACACACACACACACACACACACACACACACACACTTCCATATGGTCAGCACAATTCCACATCTTACAGAACTTCTGCTTCAATACAATCTCATGAGTCACAGGCTATTTAATTAAGTGGGAATCAACATTAAACTTGATTATTAAATTCCTCTTTAAAATCAAATCATATACAGAAGTATAAAAATAATATCCAATCATAAAATCAGTTAACTCATATCAGAACCATAAGGGTCCTCTGTTATAACTTTAAAAATACAAACTCTAAAAGTAAGAATATGAGGGTCCAAATTCCTCATTTTCAGCTTATTAACCACATAACTTTGGGCAAAATCCCTTGACGTCTCCATTTGAAAAGCAAAATAGTAATTACAGGGCTGCTACAAAATACCAATGGGGTGATGCATATAAATTTTCTAATATTACTAAACAGCGCCATCAGGCATCTTCCTCCTTCTGGCCTGCAGAAAACCACATTCCTTTACCTTGTGAAAAGTATAGTGAAGCTCAATGACTTAACCAAGAGTAAGTCTGAGGTTCACATGAGACCAGAAATGCTTTAACTATGTTATTCTAAGTAGATTAAAAACAAACCCTTCACTGCACAACTAGTTCAAATTAGCTTAGCCAAAACTTAAATATAAGATACAATACAGAAAAATACATTCACTTAAAGAGAAAAGCCACCGTGGTCACTGGCACTGCAAAAACGTGCCCGGGCCTACCTCGGAGGAGCCACGTTACCTCCAGAGCAGCGCATGCGCCAATCCAGCTGACGTCGGGTGGGAAATGCTGCCCGCTCCAGAAGACTGAAAACACGGGGGTGATGGATTCTGCCAAGAAGGGACGGTGAGGAAGGGGCATCGGGACACGGAGCGTGTGCGGAGTGTGTGCGTGGGAGCGGGACGCCTGTCTCCAAACACAGCACTCAGGCCGCCCTGCGGAGGTGCGGTGTGGAGACAGCCCCGGGGCGAGGGCGCCTCAGGCTTCCCATACGTTTCTGTTCCCTTGAGAACATACTGTTATTCTAGGGGGTGGACAGGGCATGTGTATGTCATAGGTTAAAAAAAAACTCCCCCAGAATCTCGTGAAAGCCAAAGCCAAAGCCAAACTCTTGTAACTTCCTTTTGCACAAGGCTTAACCTGAGTAAAGAGAACGCAGGACTGAGTATCTGGCACTTTATCATGCCAGGTGAACTTCCAGCTGCTTGCTTGGTTCACTTTATTTTTAGATAAAAGCCGACACCTACCTGAGTCTCGCAGTGCTGCCGCCCCAACTGCTGTGGACGCCACCTGCGCGAGCACAACTCCATAGTCGGCCTTCTTCCGCCTGCTCACCTAACGTACGCGGACGGGAGAGAGAAGGGCGAAGGGTCTGCTGCTTCATGCAGGATATTTTACAGCTACTGCTATTCCTAGATTGTTCTACTAACCAGTCATTAAGACAACAACAGCTGGCTGTGGTGGCGCACGCCTGTCATCCCAGCACTCGGGAGCTGAGGCAGAAGGACTGCTGTGCATTCAAGGCCAGCCTGTACTGTAGAGACTCCTAATCATTAATGTACTAGTTCAGATGGGCACTATAAAAACCTTAAAGAACTTGCTAGTTTACAAAGAATATTGTATGCATGTTCAGAGTGAAGTACAGAAGGGAGGACCTCTCTCAACGTAAGCCACAACAGAGACAGACCCACCAACCTCCTCCTCAGCCTGGCTAGCATCATACTGGCTTATACAATGTTTGACTTCCAAACAGCTACTCATTCAGAATTTGTATTAAAAGTATCTGCTTTAACCTCAATTTATAAAAATATAAACTCTACATTTAATTTTTTTGTACATTTAGTTTTAAGGGGAAAAAAGTAACTAAAGAAGAGTTTAAGATCACAAGATAAAAGTAGGTTTATTTCTTCACTTTTCTGTTGCTTGTGACTTTCCAGTGTGCCCTCCTTTTCCGCTTCTGTCAGCTGTATTTCCCGTAATCTGTAGCCCAGTACCCTGCAGCCACACAGCATGGCAGCTCTGCAGGAGGAGCGCCCAGCCTCTCCCTGCCTCACCAACCGACGCTGCGGCATCAGTCACAGGGCTGCCCGATCACACCACCACACAGGCAGAAGCAGAGCGCAGCAGTGAGAGATGCTTTACTAAATAAAACACAGATGCTGTTGGTCTAAGACAAACAGGAAACCGGAGTCCCAGCCTCAGTGCAGTGAGTGATGCCTGCCGGGGATCCTGCCAGGACGGACCCCAGGGCCCTGCGCCCGCCTAAGCAGGCGCTTTAGTCTGCTGAGCTATCTGGCCCGCCCGTTTTCTGGTTTGGGGTTTTTTTTATGAAAAACAATTTTTAACCATACCTTTTCCATCCCCTTTCCTTCACCTCCCTCCCCACTGTGTCACTTGAAATAGATTTAACACCCTTGAGAACTAATTCCCTCTTACTCTGCATGTTTGAAAGTTGTTTTGATTAGACAGACAGATCAGTAGATACATAGATAAATAAGTTTTTTTCGATAACATTTATGTTAATAAGGTTAAATTACTCTTAAAACAAAGTTTAGAAAACCATACGTTAAGATCCTAAAAAGGCCAGAAGTCTGTGAATATTTACTTTGACAAAAAGGACTCAATACAACTTAATGGCTCTGACAAAAGGCTAAATTATATAATAAATTTTATTTAACTGTAAAATACAGTTCTCTACAAGTGGTTTCAATTCCTTTAAAACACTGGAGTTTAAACACTCATTTATACATACATTTAAACTCCAGTTTTTCTCCAGAAGTTAAATCCACCCAATTTAAGTACACCCAGATGTTTGATATATTTATAAAACATCTGGATGATTAACTGTGTAAACACAGCTACAGATACCAATATCAAGCCTCTAATGTTTTCCTTCTCAAAAAAAAAAAAAAAAAAAAAAAAAAAAAAAAACAACCCACGTATTACAATGCTATACGACTTTTTAATTGAGGCTTAATAACTTCTGCATGTACAGAGAACAGAATGATGTTCTTAATGGCTTTTACAACAGCAAGAATTCCCTTCACCAGTAGCAGATGGTAATTCATACCTGTAAATTTTTGGCATATTGGTTGGACATAAATGTCACACACTCATTGATTACACCTGTTCTTTGAAGAAGCAGCAATCCTTTGGGGGTAGCAGCGAAATTTAGTAAATCATCTAACAAATTCTCTTCCCAAGCCATACTGAAACAAGTAAAAGAAAGGCAGAACTTATTTCAGGACGTTCAAAACTCAATGAAAAGTGTTTCAGCATTACACTTCCAATAATTAAATTTGCAAACTACACATTGGTAGCAAACTATTCAAAAGATATTTTAAAGTAAGATTAAAAGGTTGCTTTCTTTGGTGGTAAAGTCTTTTCTTCTGACATGTTCTGTTCTGATAATTCCCTTCACTGAGGGAAACACGTATTAACTGCTTTGTCAATGTTTTTGTTACTCCCAGATTCTCTCCTGTAAGCTTTAAATCTATTCCACCTTGCTAGCGTCATCCTGCTTGCCTAGATTCCCTGATCCTTGACTTCCGCTGTTTAGATACTTATGTACTTTCTTTTGTTATAAAATATGACTTCTGACTTTCTAAGCCATGTTATTTTGATGAGGTTTTATATTTTACATTGGGAGAATAGCATCATTTTTTCCTCAGAACAAAAATTTAAAGAAGGCAAACAGCTTTCTCCAGAGGAAAAAAAAGGAGCCCTAAGAGAGCAGAAAGAATGTTTTAAAGTGTTGTATTTAATATATATTATTATTTGTCCATTATACTTTTTAAATAATTTTCTAGAAATTGAGAAAAGATGTCAGTATGACATCATTCACAGTACCTCTAAGACAAATTCATAGAGATATAGAAAACATCAAAATAACAACGAAAATGTATGAGACCCTGAGGTCAGTTTCCAGCACCACAATAATAATAATAATAATAATAATAATAATAATAATAATATCTGTGTATGTACACAGGATGCTTTGGGCAACTTTGCTGTGGATTTCTTCTGGTCTATGGAAAGGAACAGATAATGCTTCATTTGTTTTGTCTCCTTTCAATTGTTGGTACTTTTTCTCTTCTTAATTTCTTATGCATTGCTTTTTTCTCTTTCTTACAATTTTGCATTTATATATCTGGTAATATGAATAACTGGTTGGAAGATAACACCATGCATAAAACAAATACTGTGAAATTCATATTGCTTTGTTAAGTGAAATTCGGTATCACTTGTAATTTTTTCTAATTTAATACTATTTTGTACTCTTTAAAAAATAAAAGCAATTTAAAAATAAATAAATTTGTAAAAATAATAATAAGTGAAAGGTCAGTGTTTATATCTCCTTTTGTTGTTTAGTTTTGTGAGAGAAGGGTATTCCATTGTCATTTAAATATTGTAAGTGCGTGAATTCAGCAAAATATTCCAATATAGTCCAGCAGTCTATAATAGTAGTGGGTCATCTGCAGGACTGGCAATGTCAGAACTTGTTGACCTGAGCCCTTTACAGCCCAGCATACCAACATGGCTTCACCCCTTATACCTCATTTTTATACCTTTCTGCTAGATGGTTAAGACCAAGATAAAGCAAGACCTATACTACCAGAAATCACATCCTTCCTTGACAGTACTCACTATGCACGCAAGTCAAGTTCTCCTAGTTACCTGCAACTTCCTAATACCTTATGCAGACACGAACCAAAGTAGAATTTTAGCAACATTTATATCACAGAATTATAACATTGAAAGCAAAGTAGTAAACAATTGAGACACTACATATTTATACACATACATAAGCACAAATATAAAGCACCAGCTTCCTATGAAGGACAGCCTTTTGAAGCACAGCCCTGTAGTACTGAGTCACAAAACAAACTAACCAGGGTCAAAAGATACATGCAACCCATGGTCTCTTTCAAGAGCATAACTGTGAGTCAAAACAAGGTATAAAAAGTAAAGCCATATTAATATGCTGAGCTGTAAAAGGCTCAAGTCAACAACTTCTGACATTGCCAGTCCTGCGGATAACCCAATACTATTATGGACTGCTGAACTATATTGGACTATTTTGCTGAATTCATATACCTACAATATTTAAATGGCAAGGAAATAACCCATCTCTGACAAAACTAAACAAAAAAAAGGGATACAAACAAAGACCATTTTGTATCTGTATATACAAAATAGTTAAGATAAATATACAGCTACTTTCTCTTAATTCAATGAGAAGATTTGTACTGATAGTCTTTGGACAGGATATCATGTCTGCACCTTGTACTATGAATAACCACTATGAAGACAACAATATACAATGTATTAATTATTGAAATTGTCCTACTAATCGGTTTTGAAACTACCTCATTGCTATTTTGTTTCTCACTAAAATTAAATTAAAAAATTGGAATACAGAGAAAAATCAAAGTAAAAAGCAACAGTGAAAACAACTTTGTTTAGAAACTAAAAATAATGCACTACAAATATTTCATAGATTAAAGAGCAAAATAAAACTAGAGATGTCAAAAATATTTTGAAAACTGCAGAACGAAAGCACTAAACATCGAAGTGCTCTAGAGCAGCTGCAGGGGCTGACTCTGCTAATGTCGGTCTCAGACCCCTTCACCCACAACAGACATGATAGGGCCAAGGGGGGAAGGCAGGAGCGGCTGCAGG